AGGGAGAGAGAGGGAGAGAGAGGGAGAGAGGGGGAGAGAGGATGAGTCGATGAAGGCTGCTTGGCATGACACTCGAATTGCGTTGGTTGGCGCCGACCAGAAGCTGTGCTCCACCAAGAAGCGCCACCGGCATCCTCGGCTTTGCCGAAGTGGAGGCATCGGCACAATGCGACGCGCCAAGACCCGCCTCATTGCAACGAACAGTCTCAGTCGCTTCCAGAGGCGACGCTGCCTCCGCCACACCGGCACGGCCGTGACTGGGCTGCAGTGGTCAGGTATAACATTGCAGACTGCTACGAACGGTCGGGTATCGAGCATGAAATGGGAAGAGCACATGCTTTGGGATGGAAAAGAATGACAGCTCGTCTGACGTGGACAGCTGTGCCAAAAGTTGTCTGGCATTGCACGGGGCGCGCATGGTCAACATCCACCAGAGAAACCAGCGCCTCCGCCAAGGAATCCAGCGCTGGCGCCGCCACGCCTGGATTTGCCGTCGTGATACGCCTCGTCGAGACAGACGCAAAGGGCGGTGATGAGCGCCGCATCGACGCCGGGCGCCACCACGGCACCGTACGTCTGACGATCGACTGCAGAAACGGCAAGAGGGCGGATGACTGCTGGGTTAGCATCGTCTGCGTTCAGCCTGGCTCTCGCCCGAGCAGACGGCACTTACAGAAGCTGTACTCTCGAGAAATCTTGGCTACCACGACGCCGGCCTGTGTGGTGATCTCGGCGTCTCGGCTGAGCCATCTGCCGCGGAGAACGAGCTTCTCCCTGCGACCGCCGGCGACGTGATTGACGAAGGTGATCTCGAGTTTGGGATTGAGCAAGCCGATCTTTTCGACGGTGAAGAGATTGACGCGCCTGTTGCCACACTGGTAGCCGGCGTACGACTTGCTGAAGGGCCCACTCGTGCTGCAGAACTCGAAGAGCGGCTTACCCGTATGGTCGTGGAGCGTCTTGCGCTGGCTCAGCGACAAGACCTTGCCGCGCACTTCAAAGATGCGCTGGCGCGTCACGGCGTCTTTGACTGTGAAGTCGTCCGAGGCAAAGGGCATGCTGTGTTCGCGGATGCGCAGCGCGATGGGCGTGGCGTGGCGCACGTAGTCGGGCAGCAAGCCCATCTGATAGGGCGGCGGCGGCAGCTGCGGAATGGGGGGCGCGCCCGAAGTTCGAGGAGCCGTCTTGGACATGGTGGGATGCTGCGTCTAAGCGGGGCTGCGGGTGAGTGTCGGTCACGAAAACCTCCTGTTGAGTCTGGGGCGACTGGCAGAGATGCGGGGGAGAACACCGACATGGTTGCGCTGCAGCCTCCTTAAGTAGGAGCGTCGAGGTGAGGTGGTCGGTTGGTGGCATTGCGCCGCCCCCGGGCCGATGCCAGGTCCTGAACGGGCCGTTTGCTTGCGCACAAGTGTACAGTATGCACCGAAAGGGTTCAACGAAACGTCGCTCGGGTGGAACAAAGACCTGCAGCCCGGCGGAGCTGGAGCGGAGGTGAATCAGGATCACACACCTCGTCCAGTACCCTCGAGACCATTTTGCAAAATCAGAGAAAAAAAAAAA